AAACACTCCCTCAAGCAGCGTGATGGATTATTCAGCATAAGTATCTTCAATATTCTTCAATTGAGGATAAGGTAGGTCTAATTCCACTCCAAGATCAAACCATTTAGCATCAATGAAGTTACTTTCCTTCAAGACATCTCTTACTAACCTCAACTGGTTGATACCTATTAAAGAATGACCTTACATACAAACACTGTAACAGTATCTATGGTACTTGCACCTACAGTAGGAACCCACCACTTCTCTAGTAAGGACTTACTTACCCAAAAGAAACACTCTCCTTCTTACAGTAGACATTATGAAACCTGCTGAGCTTGCTCTGCAATGGAATGCAGCTAAGCCCTAATGCGTGGGTGTTGAATGGGTGTGGCTATATGAGCCACTCCCTCATCATATTATGCTCCTATCAAAGCTGGTATTCATTATTAAATAAAAATAAATCATGAAGAACAGAACACAACAACAACAAAAACAATAACAGTCAGTCAATGAGAGAGAGAGAGAGAGGTAGAGAAGGTGTGTGTGTATAATATAAGTTGATGGTGTGAAGTGTGTTATTAATATCTACCATCACAGATCATGTGAAGAAGAGGACCAACCTAGAGAAAGAACAGATACTCAATATGGACTATAAATTATAAAGAATTAAGATAATTATTACATACAATTATTATATACAATAATAATTAACTAAAAGGAATTACTTCATTATGATCCTGGAGTGCCTCGTGAAGCATCTTCTCAATGTTCCTAGTGATGGCCACCTTCTGCTGTGAGCTCAAAGGATAAGTGATCTTACTGGGGACTGGCCCTCCCTATAGTGGTTGCCTTGGTAACAAGAGGGGAACAGGAAGGACTTACTCTGTACCAAAAGGTAATGGATATTGATAATTCACCAGGAGAGGTCTCTATAGTATGCCACCTTGAGAGGAGAGGAGAGAGGGGGGAGGGATGGAAGGGAGGGGGAGGGGGAGGGAGGAGGTTAAAGGATAATACACTATACAGTCTCATACCAGTACATTGGTATATACAGTACATCCCCAGGACTCAGAATGCACTCGTATCCTTCAATCTCTTTGAACTTTGGAAACCTTTCAAAGTCAGGAGAGTCAAAATCAACCTACAGGAGGAGGAGGAATGCTAGTAAAAGAACTTAAATTTACTATTAAAACTGTTACTGCAATTATGCACTGCAGTAGTCCTTTACTTTTGTGGAGGGAAAATGCAACAAAGTTTATCAGTATAAGCACTTAACTGTATTATTATAAAGTTAAAAAATTCCATCCTTATAAGTTTAAATGTATTATTAATCTTGCAAAGTTTAGCTCCATAAAAGCATCAGACTATAATAATAATGTATACTACACTACAGGGGTAGTGGTATGACATGGGTATATTATATATGAGGTATGTATGAGGTGCTTACTTGACTCTGTCTGTCACAAGGATGAGCCACTGGATAAGGATACAGCTTATCATACTGATCAGGGGCAAATAGTAGACACCTTTTGAGACCTCTCACCTATGAATAAATCAGTTTATTCCTCTCCCTCTCTCCCTCTCTCCCTCCCCCACCTGACAGAAGAAGTTGTGTTGTTCATCATAATGACAAGGAGTTATGTTCCCAGGCTGTGATATCAGTAATAGATTGGACGTGAGCTGTCCCCAGTTATATCTCTTCTTTCTTTCACTGACCCAGTGCCAGTTAAAGTGTACAAAATCATGTTTGATTCCACTGCCAACAGTATCAGTGAGAGCATCTTGATAATACAAGTACTCATCAGTTCGGCCTTCATGAGATTTGTACTCATCCACAAATTTTGAGAATGTCCACTCTCTTTTTTTCATCGGCTCCTTGAATGACGGGAAATCATTGACCTGCAACATAAGAACATGTACATGTATTTGTATTGGGGAATGTATAAAAATTGAGAATTCTCTCCTTTTCCTTCTGGGTGAAAGTTGGCCAAATACGTGTACCATGAACTATATTGTTTACTTTTTTCATAATTTTGGCATTTTCTTTAAATGGCCGTAACTTGAAAAATTGAAGTCAGAATTGGCTCAAACTTTCTACACAGCATCAGAAAATGTAATAAAAATTTGAGGTGATTTCGGAGCCATTTTTTGGAAAAAAACCATGGGCTATAGCCTTGGGTATTTTTCAAAATTTGGCATTTTCTTAAAATGGCTGTAACTAAAAAAATTGAAGTTGGAACCGACTCAAACTTGCTACACAGCATAAGGACATCAATATGTATCAGAAAATGTAATAAAAATTTGAGGTGATTTTGGAGCCATTTTTTGAAAAAAACCATGAGCTATATAGCCTTGGGTATTTTTCAAAATTTGGCATTTTCTTAAAATGGCTGTAACTAAAAAAATTGAAGTCGGAATCACCTCAAACTTTCTACACAGCATAAGGACATCAATATGTATCAGAAAATATAATAAAAATTTGAGGCGATTTTGGAGCCAATTTTTGGAAAAAACCATGGGCTATAGCCTTGGGTATTTTTCAAAATTTAGGCATTTAAAAAAATGGCTGTAACTCGAAAAATTGAAGTCGGAATCGACTCAAACTTGCTACACAGCATAAGGACATCAATATGTATCAGAAAATGTAATAAAAATTTGGTGTGATTTTTTGGCCATTTTTTGGAAAAACTATGGGCTATAGCCTTGGGTATTTTTCAAAATTTTTGGCATTTTCTTAAAATGGCCGTAACTTGAAAAATTGAAGTCAGAATCAGCTCAAATTTTCTACACATCATAAGGACATGCATCAGTATGTATCAGATCATTACTCCATTATTATTAATTCATGTACATATACACATTGATACTAACTACTGGGACTACCTTCCTCTCATCATAGTACATGAAGTATCTTGATTTCGATACATAGACCGTGTGTTTAGCTGGTCCCATGTTCTGTTCCAAGTACGAGAGGTCCCAATGCAAAGCAGATTGAACTAGATCAGTATCAGTAAGTACCACTGGCTCCTGTAAGAATATCATTAATAATTTAATATTATAATGATCTACTTAATTTTACTGCAAAATCATCTTATAGTGATTGCCCATTAAAATGATTAATACATGTAAATTGATGGCCAAAATTATTTCAAAAATTCTAGCACAATTACTTTATTTACTGAAGAATTAGATATTTATCATTGCATTAATTTTATGTTCTTTTCTTACTTCATGCGTCATCAGATGATCTGCAGTTGCTTCCGTCCAGCAAAGTCTCTGAATTGGTTTAACGGGAAAACTGTATTTCTTCATTTCTATCTTGCTGGAAGAAGGTGGTCCTAAAGAGAAGTATTCATTAATAATAATGACACTTTTTCATACCTTTTGGCTCTGCCATCCTTCTTGTAAAGGGTTAAACTATTTATTAGCCACGCCCACACCTCTCCGTATACTATAACCACGTGGGTTCATGTGGCTGTTTAAAAATTTTATTGATACAAGAATAAAAACAGTTTCATATACTTGCACTGCAAGAGAAAATAAACAAAAATACTTAACAATAATAATAATAACAATAATGAAGCAGTGATTAGCAGTCATAACAGATATAAAAATACAATTATTATTAATATTAAAAATACACCAAAAGAGACTGTGTTAAAATATACAATACAAGAACAATAGCAACAACAGCATTACGTGCTAGCAAGGCCTTTCTCAATTTCCCTCTCTTCTCTCAGTTCCTTGATCTGGTGGGTCAGAAAATGATCCACGTCAGAATAGTTAACAGAAATATCGTTAGGAAGAACACGTTTGATTTGGAACTTGCCAGTTCCGATCTCATGTGGCTTTAGCTTAGATTCTTCTGGAAGAATGACAGGAATGTAGTTCATATCAGTCACCCAGTCATCTCTAGAGTCCCTTCTTTTAGGAGGCACTGCTGGCTTCCTCCCCTCCTCTTTCTTGAGTCTGCTGGTATCAGCTGGAACAGAAGACTGGTGAGGTAACCCGTGGAGTATCTTTGATCTATAACTGGTCACTGGTGGGGCAGGAAGCTCAGCTTGGGCGCTAGTTTGAGGGTTTTTGATCCAGTCTGGTTTGGGAGGTCTGGGCGGGTGACTAGGCTTTGCTTTATGCTCCGGAGAGAGAGGGTTCTTGTGGACTCTGTGGGAGGGACTCTTAGAGCCGTTAGCTGAGAGTTCAACCAACTCTTTATCAATACTAACACGAGGCTTCTTAAGATTAGGGTCACTGGGTTTACGAGGAGGTGGGATTGGTTTCTTAGGCTGAGGCCCAGCGGTTGATAAGGACTGAGTCTCTGGAGCAGACTGCCTGTGCTGGGCGTCTCTTGTAGGTGTGGCATCAGACTCAGCTGCTCTTTCTTTCTGCATTGGTAATGGTGGGCGTGATTTTAAAATGGTTGCCCGGTTACCGCGAGGAGAAATAGAGCGAGAGGGAGAAGGAACCTTACGCAGCTGTGGTTCCGGAGGAGAAGAGGAGGGGTGGGGCTGGGGGTGTGGCTCTTGTTGTTTATTAGATTTCTGCACTTGTACATATTCATACGAGTGCTCGTGTCCTAGTAAAGATACTTTCCGTTTATAAGGATCAGTGGCCTCCTCATCTACTGATACTTCAGAGGGAGACGAGAGTGAACCCCACCCATCTTCCTCGTCCAACTCAACATCTTCATAAGTGTGTGGGCGTCTGTTCCACACCACTGGTGGAGGAGGGGGCGGAGCCTGTGCAGCTCCTTTTAAAGATACACTCGGCGGAGGTGAATGGCTATGATCTTTTGGCGGAGAAAATTTCAATTTTTCAGAACTTCCATTGGCAGGGGCTAAGCGATCATACAGCTGGGGGCGTGTCTTGGCTATTGTGATATTTTCAGAACTTTTAAATTTGCCATCAGTCGGAGATTTGGCTTCATCAGTGTCTCTCTGTTCCACTAGCTCACAGAGGTTAGGGAAGGAGGAGGAGGAGTTGAGTCGTTTCCTAGCAACCGGAGGGGGCGGGGCTGACTTATTCACTGAAGGAGCTTTAGGTATGTGAAAACACTCGACAGAAGAAGAACTAAGAATAATAAAAATAATAAAAATTATAATTATAATTTAATTGTCGTCACTTACTGTTTAAGTTCACTTCTAATTGGTACGTTAAAGTATAAATGAGATCCTTCATCATCATCATCAGCAGCAGCAGCAGTGGTAGTGTCACCATCTTGAATGCTATGATGAGCTGTATCACCATTAACTTTAACTAACCTACTTACTGGCCTAAGGAGAGAGAGAGAAAGGGGAAAGAGTATAATTTTTAAAAGATAAAATCAACTTCACAAGAAATAAAAGAGAGTAAGTGAAAGGAAAAGGAAGAATGTCAGAGATAATGAATCAAAGTAATAAAGAGGAAGTAGCTTCATAAAAGGAACAGAATCAATGAACATAGAATACTTATGAAGAGGAACTCATGTACAGATACATGTACATGTATCTATACATGTACATGTATCTGTATCTATACATGTACATGTATCTGTATCTATACATGTACATGTATCTGTATCTATACATGTACATGTATCTGTAAGTTAGGTCATAATGAAACACAAATATAGTGACACTAATATAATTAAGAGATTTAACTTAATAAATAATAATAATAATAATAATAACAATGTTCCAATTATCTTGAAACATGACAGACCAACAAAACATGAGCATGGACATGTCAACTAATAGAAGACTATGGAGCAATTATAAGAACTAATTAAATAAGTGGGCGGTACAGTAATAAACAAACACAGTGAGAGTGGGTGTGTCCATATACTCTTTAAGCATAATACATGTGATCATTATCAACACTCTCATATGGCTGACATGTGTCAAGAACATGCAAAACATGAACTTTATAAACAAGTACATTAGTAAATGTAACTAGATACCATAGACCAATTACTGGCCACTGCATGTAGAGGGACTCACTTTGAATGGAGTGATTGAGTTGGAGTAACATTCTCGTACGATAATTGATGGGCGTGGTCTTCAGTCTCGTTCTGTATTGCAACATTATAATACAAACTATCAGATTGGTGGGTGTGGTCATTTCCAAAGTGGGTGTGGTCACTAACATGAGCCCCATTAGCATAGAGCACAGGATCATGGGTATTAGAGTGGTGGGCGTGGCCATTGACATACAGTGAATCCTCATTTGATGAATTAGCATAAATATTGGCTCCATTGGAATAAGATGGATGACCATTGACCATATGCTTCATGTCAACAAAATCTTCTTCATCCGATTCATCACAACTGTCTTTTCTCCTACGAGCAGGTAAGCTCTCAAACGGAGTGTGATTGTGATAGAGGTGTCGTTCTTGTGGCGGGTCCGAGCCAGCTCTTTGAAAAGGAGGAGGTACAGGAGGAGGAGCAAACTGTTCGATAGCTCTAAAATTATAATAATGAACATTATCAGGATCATTAGGCAGGGGGTGTGGTGGCCTCTTGTGTGGTAATGGAAGCGTTTGAAAGTTTAGTTCTCTCTCAGCCTCTCTGATTATTGCATTGGAACGATATCTGTTCTCATGCAGCTGATGGAGGGACTGCCCTCTCTCAAACGAAGGACGTTGAGACGAGAAGTTCTCGTATTTTTGGCCACGCCCTTGAAGGCTCCGCCTTGAGTTGACCTGAGGATGCCCTCCGACCATGTTGTTCATGTGTTCTCGAATGAGGGACAGTTTGCCGTGTTCTGTGGTCATCCTTCGTCCAGTTCTGTCATCAATGAATATCGGCTTGTGCATGGAGAGGTCGGTGAAGACGGACTTTATCTTATCAAGTTCATCAGTTTCTAATTCGTAAGTCGACTCACCTAATGGACACTTTGAACCTAATAATAACAATAATAAAATAATAATAATAATAATAATGATAACAATAATGATAATAATAATAGTGTCAAGAAACATCGAGAGGTGGTTGGAGAAATTGGGAGTAGTTATAAGGGTGGAACATATTCAAAAGACGGTGTTGTTGGGGACTGCGAATATCATTAGACGGACTATACAATGATCACTAATTATTATCTATGTTTACTTGTTGTGAACTGATAATTTTTGTAACTTCTGGCTTGCTTTTACAAGCTGTGTGTGTGTTCATAATAATAATTTGATTTTTGTTTTTTTTGCTTGTAATAATATTTTCCTTTTTTGTTTTTGTTTTCTGTTTTTGCAGCATGTCACTTATGTCTGTTATAATATCATTTTGTATTCATAAGTACTCATCATTCATTAATGTTTTCATCATTCATTTTCCTCTTATTGTGTTTGTTTATTAGGTTTTTCTTAGGCTTTGTTATAGCAATGATAATATTATATCTTCTGATACATTTTTACAAATGTTAAAAGTAGCTCTACTGCAGTGATGGGCTAGGCCATATTGACTGCTACTAATGAAGAGTTGTCAAACACTATTTGTAATGTGATGTGGGGAATAAATGACATCAGAAACAAATCATCATAACCTGCTGTACTACACATATGTACATGTATAGAATGTCATTGCATAGTAGACACTCCTTCCAGTGTTCATACAACAGAGCTCATACAACACTAGACACTGTGTGTGGATCAGGCTAGAGGCAGAGGGTATACACTGTGCAGTGACCAGTGGGTACATGTGATAGGAAGGTGTTTAGTCTTGTCGCTAATTAATTCAATTAAACCTTCAGGCCTTCAGTAAACAACATGTCTCTCACAGACACACTCAATAAGGTTTCATTAGCTGGACCAGCAGCTGTAAGGATTGGTATTGGCTCCGCTAATTGGAGTACATTTAATATTAATTAGCTAACAATTAATGCTCATACTTTTAAAGACCCTAACAATTAATACATTAACAATACATGCACAATATTCATTTCATTGTCATTAAATGATTTAAACTTTTTGTTACATATTCAGCCTCTCATGGACTGGAATGCTTTGATGTGCCCCACCAACAAAACCACAACTGAGAATGAATCATTGACACTCCATAATCATCCATTGGAACCACACACACTACAAGCTGACCATTCTACACTTTACTGACCAGTTGTACTACCAATAACCTGTACAATGGTCGACCGCCGTCTGTCTGAAGGTTAATGAACACTCTCTATAGCGTACACCTCCATTTAACGGACAGCACCTAGTGTACCAATTACATTCCTTACTGTATAAAATAACCTCCACATAAAGGACACCTCTGTATAACAGAGACACAGTGTCCATTATAGTAAGGCTAGTCTGTAGGTCAGCTAATCAATAATCGCTTAATACTAACAATAATTTGCTGATTCAGTTTACATAACTCTTCCTGCTAGATAAACCATCTATAGTTCTTCCTAACACTGATCAATGCCACTATGGTAATGGATCAGAACAACTAGTTAGACTATAACAACTGGTAACACAATGTACTCCATTACACTACACTCCATAATGATAACAGTGAGTATTACTGAATAACATATTAAGCAGTACTACATGAGTGTGATTAACGGCATGAGTGGATATGGTAATTAAACACACACGCAGTTACGATAAAATCTTTAATTTTTTATGCTTACCCGTCTCAAATTTGAACGACTTGCTTCCTCCAAATTTCCTTATATGGAGTATCTGCCACGACCCCTGGCACCTAGGGGGTGTGTCTGCTGTACTGATGGTAAACCCATTGTTCCTTATTCTAATAAATGCCCGTCCCTGCTTGAGTATATTCTGCTTGTGTGGAACATTTATACTGAGAACAAGCTCTGAGAGAAAGAGAGAGAGACAGAGAGAGAATTCCAGTAAAAAGAATTAAAAGTATAACACAGGATGAAGGATACATCATGAGAAAAAAATAACAGACAGAGAGAGACAAAGACAGTATATGGCTATACAGAGAGTGTATGGGCTGACTAGCAGCTAGTGGTATGGGGGGATTTATTGTAAGTGGTATAATGGACAAAGTGAGAACAAAAGAAGTGAAGGCACTAGTCTATTAGATCAGTAACTGATACTGGTCAGCATTAACACTTAAAACAATATGATCTTACTTCCTCCTCTCTCTCTCTCTCCCTCTCTCCCTCTCTCCCTCTCTCTCTCTCTCTCTCTCTCTCTCTCTCTCTCTCTCTCTCTCTCCCTCTCCCCTGTCTCTCTCTCTTTCCTCCAGACAATAGGCTAAAGGCATTTCAACTATTCTCTTTACTCATCCAATCAATAAAACACATTAAAATATTATTAAATCAGAGTCTAGCGTATATTCCATGCATTCAGCAGACACACACAAAAACAATAACATCATCACCACTGGACCACCTACTGTACATGCACTGACAGTGAGTACCAGTAATGTAATACCTGAGTCCCTTGATATCTGCCCTCAGCTTCACCTCAAGCAGATATCTCAGTCCTCAGGTATTACATTACTTATACACACACACCTCCAGACAGGCTGGACTACATGTATAAGTACCTTTTCCAAGATATTCATTCAAAACTCTTGTCCACCTCTTCAAGTCATTAACTGACTCAGTAGCAAAGCATTCAGTTGAGTCGGTTAGTAAAATGGCAAAGACGTTCTTCTCTCCGTCAATCTTAACGTTAGAGTCAGTCCCTCCATAATCCTCTATTGGTAGTTCGTATAACTCGTTAGAAGGAGTGGGCGGCTTGTCCTTGAAGACGGTAAACGTTAACTTTCCTGACGTTGACACCTTAAAAACAACATATCTGTGTCTCCACTAGAAGGAAGAGAGAGGGAGAGGGGGGAGGGGGGGAGAGGGAGGGAGGGAGAGGGTAATGTCCCTATACAATAGTATATGGTAGTACAAGATTTTTCAAATAATAGTGTTAATAAAAACTGTCACACACACACACACACACGAACAATATGAA